AATAGAGAAGAACTGGCCTCAACGCGCGAAGAATTGGTTCTACGCTCATGGGGGGAGCCTAGACCCAGACACTGGCAAGCTAATTTTTGGCCAAAAAAATTGAGAGAGCAACACAGAGACTAGCTCGTGCTAGGGAAGAAGCTGATAGCGGTGTTTTCAAGCCCAACAGAGAGAATGATGAATTGACATATGCCCTAGAGAATCCCGAACACGGTGGTCGAACAAGAGGCTAAGGGGTGGTTCCGTGGCTACAAGCATTCCCAGCAGACAAGGATACCTACAGAAGCCGCCAGAGAAAGAAGGATGAGGAGGCAGACCGAATCCGTGTATTGGAGCAATTTGTTAATGAGTCACGACAAGCATTGCTTGAATCACGTGAACGAGAAAAATCTCTTGAGGCAAGAATGCAGGAGGAGATCAAGAGGCAAGTGCAGCTAGCAATGAGTCAAATGCAATCGCAATCAACGCCGGGAGTCACCATTAGCCCCGTTGGTCAGATGAAAAGCAGTTGTGCTTCCACGGAGCTGCCAGTTATTCAAAATGACGCTGGGTTGTGCTTCCTTGTTGATGACATTACCGAGCCTCTAACAACATGTGAGCTGCACATTCCAGATGGTAATAATGCATCAATCATGGTGGCTGTCGGGGTTGTATCTCCAATAGACCGAACGAAGACCCCGTTGGTCAGATGAAAAGCAGTTGTGCTTCCATGGAGCTGTCAGTTATTCAACCTGGATATGCTAGCGTCTCGGTCGATAGAGTGCTCAAAGGTTACAATAATGTTCCTCTTGACATTGAAGGCGGTGATGGGGAGAAGACACTAGGAGAAGCAGAGAAGACATTTATTCAATGGCGCAAACGCTTCATCATCATTCCTGGGATGCCACCGCTTCCCCTACCTCACCCTAGGTACGAATGAAATATTATTTTCCATTAATTTTATATTAGCTTCAAAAATAATTGACTCACAACTTGTTTTTGTAGCAGGGTCTCCCCCCAGCCTAGCCCAATCATTCATTCCCCATCTCATCACAGCATCGTGGGGGGCGAGACGACTTCATCCCCACGGCGATCTCCAACTCCTACACCGGCCCCATCGGCTCCACAACGATCTCCAACTCCTACACCGGCCCCACCGCCTCCACAACGATCTCCAACGCCTCCACGCCGGTCTCCAACACCGGCCTCATCGCCTCCACGTCGGTCTCCAACACTGCCCCCACCCCCTCCACAGCGTTGCACTACAGAGACGTCTAAGGTCCCGGCGGCAAAGAAGACCCCGAAAAAAGAGTTATTTCTCAAGAAATACTTCCTAAAAAGACTGATGAGCAAATAGCAGCTGAAGAAGACAAAAAAGTGAAAGATTTTTTTATAGATATAAAAAAGCAGAGACAAGCGAAGCTTAAGGAGAAGCCGTACTTTTACATACCACGAGATCTACTGAGGCAGAAGGTCGAAGATCACAAGAAAAAGATGCTTGAACTTCATAAGCCTCCGCCACTATCAGACTATGACCGTTCCCTTGTGAAGTCACATGATGCAGATAAGAAAAGGAAAAGAGCATCAGGGAAGGATGTCCCACAGCTCGGACAACAGAAGCAACCAATGCAAAATCTTGTTGTTACTAATGAATATGGTTCCAACATAGAAGTCTATTGAACAGACAACTCTGGAGAAGTGTCGGTTCAAGACCTTAATGCTTTTTTTAAAGATACTAGTTTAACCTTAGATCAATTGATGGGCAAAGCTCCAATCCAGAACCTGGAAGTTGATACCTAGAAGACTTATAAATTTGGCAAAAGTCTATACAACCCCTGCGGCTCTGAATGAATTGGGTGCGCAAATGTACTTGCTCAACAAGTGGTACATGCAGGCGTGTGGCAGGGGTGAGGAGTGGATCTTTGTCAGATTTAGAGACCATCATTACTTCCGCGGCGATGCCATCTTACATATTAGTTTCGAAGAATTGCATCAACTATGCCACATGGACGCTCTGGACAAATCAATCATTAGCTCCTTTTGTTTGTAAGTGATTCTTACTTTTATTTAATAAACTCACTTCCATGCGTACGTGTATATAATTATTCTCACATGTAACTTATATTTATATACAGATTTCAGATGTCAGAGCTCCAAAGAATACAAGACACCAGTGTTGGCTTCATTGATCCTTATATCGTATTCAAAACCGATATTATTCCCAAGGAGCAGTGGGTATCTGAAGCACAGAAGAATATCATGAGGTTCTTCGTGAAGCAGCACGACAAGACAATAATACTTTTCCCGTACAGCTTTGAGTAAGTGTTAATAATAATGTAGTCTACACATTTTATGTAATATCAATACAACTTATATGCATGTACATGTGTGTATAAACCAATGTAGGTTTCACTGGATACTCATTGTCATTGAGTTAAACTCAAGTCGGTTAGTAATCTTGGACTCGAAGAGAAAAGAGCGGGCACTATACCAAGATATGATAGACATTATCCAGGGGTAATTTCGATCTCTCGCGCACAACTATTATTGAATAGATTTTGCCATAATTTATTAACGATCGTACATTATTGGTCGCACAGGGTTTGGAAAGAGTTTATTCGGCAACACCGCAAGGATTGCAAGGCACCACTTAATGTAGTTGAAATACCAGTAAGTTGTACTATATATACTTCCCCACGTGTTTAATTACTATATCGTACTTCAATTTACGTGTGAGATGATGAGAATAATCTTCTTCTCATACAGTGGTGTTTGCGGCAACAACCAGGTAATAACTTATGTGGATACTATGTTTGTGAATTTATCACTGCGCACATAAGAAGAACTCCTAAAGATGTCCTCAGAGTACGTATATATCAATTTTTTATTTATTTTTAAATGAATATATATATATGTATGTATTAATACTTTTCCTTTTATTTCAAATGCAAAACTAAATGGTTGAAACAAAGGGTCGTGCAAAAAGACCATCTAAAAGCAGTTCAAGAGTCAATAGCAGGATTTCTTCTAGAAAAAGTGCTAAATCCCAACGGCGAGTTCTACTTTGATCCTAAGGAATAAATGATGTAAATTAAATGTTTATTGATATCGTTATTTTCGAGAACAAGATTATGAAAGTGTTGTATATATACATATATATCTATAATATATATAGTCTCATACTTTATTCGAATATAATAATGCTCGAGATGAGAATTAGATGTAATTATATGCGTACGTGTATTTATATTAGCAGCGTAGAATACGTACATAAAAACATATTATATATTAAATAAATATGTGTAACTGAACTGAAAACAAATTAAACAAAAAAAAAAGAAAAAGAAAAGGAACCTTTAGTTTCGGTTGGGGTTACCAACCGGGACTAAAGGGTGCGGCCACGTTTGTTCGGCTGGAGGGCCTTTAAAGGTCCCTCTTTAGTCCCGGCTCGATGACCCAGGACTGAAGGTTCCACCTTTAGTCCCGGGATCGTTGTCCCGACGCGGTAACCGGGACTAAAGGCCGTTACCGCCCGGGACAAAAAGGCCATCCTGTAGTAGTGAAAGGCATCTACGGGCTCTGGTTAGTATGTAAGATCTAGTTTCCTCACTAATAAGTATGTTAGTGATCATGTTTAGTCTACGATTAAGATCCTGTTTTTTTTTCCGAAGAAGATTAAGATCCTGTTATGCTATTTCAACAACATGTTCTCACATGAGCTGTCTCAAGGACTTTGAATATTTGCGCCGTGTGTATGCATGTATCATGTATGTCAGTATGTGGCATCAATAAAATTATAAAAAGGCAGGGAGAAAATGGGAAATGGGTTCTTTTTATTAGAAATAAAATGTTGTAAATATTAGTATGTTTGTTATAACAACCTTCTAGGTTAGCGCTCCATTAATCGTGGATCTGGATGATTTCTTTGTGGCCCTTGTGGCCTTAATATGAACCACACCCTGACCTGATGGTTCATGAGGTGTCTTTCCCAAATCTCCCTTCCTACGCTCCTCATTTGTCATTCAAGAAAATGCAATCAATCTGAGCTTGGACACAGCGCGAGCTTCAACTTCATCCGTATATTTTCACTGCATACTCGTTGATATTTGAGCCGCACAAGACCACATCTAAATGGCGCGATGCTACAGTTTTGATATTTGAGCCGGCCTGACATTACAACCACACGGGTAAACTGGTGGCCCGTAGCAGCCTCGTACCAGGATGAACATGCATGAATGAAAGCAAAGGAATAGGGAACGTCCATCCGGACGAGTGAGACACCCCCAGAGTGACGCCGCAGGAGACTCTTCAAACTCTAAAACCTAACCACTCGTTTCAATCGTGCAATGATCATACGTACAGCCCTTGGTTTCAGTGTGGCACTGAATCAACAAGTATCCATCAGTTATAGTAGTACACCGCAAGTTGCATCATCTTGTGGCTGTGTGTTTGTTAGGCAGTAGAGGTCGGAAGTAATTTTTTCAAGGCCTTAACATTATGAGATCTCTTATATTATCTCAATGTATATGTCTGAATCGTGAAGTGCGACTAAATAATCTGCATTTCTGATGAGTTGTGATGTCCATCAGCTATACCACAAGCTGTATGTGGTCATTGCCTCATACTCCTAATGAATCTACACGTGTTACATGTGTTGTTCGTTCGTTGCTCTGCATCCATCCAATTAAATCCCTGTCCCTCTCCAAATTAAAGGACATTTGTGCAGGGTCGGTGGACGTTGGACGCCAAGACATTATAATCGAGAAGGACACAAGGTAAACAGAAAGAAATTAAGCGAAAAAAATCTCTTCCCACGTGTGCATTCTACACGGCTCTAACATCCTCAGGCGTTCACAGCCGATTTGAACCATAGATCTCAAAACTGAATGCTAACTAAAAAAATATCAAGCTTTCAAAGCCTCTAATCGCTGCGTTCCCGTGAGATTAGTATAAATAAAGACGGCACAGACTGTTGCCTGTTGGTGGCGTAGCAAAGTAACCAGCTAAGCCAGGAGCGAGCAATGGCGGGCGTGATAATTGTGCTCGCCTTCTTTCTTGCTCACGAGCTCTTACCGTGCGCTTCATCATCAGCTATTGATCGCACCCAGTTCCCTCCGGACTTCCTGTTTGGGACCTCTACCTCTGCTTACCAGGTACGCCCCACACTCACCTACCTATTTGCCTCAAAACGTGAAGAGCATTCATTCTTCGTCGGAGGTCCTCACACAATAGAGAAAAGCATTGCTAGTGTGTCGATCGGTTCTCTTCAGTTTGCACGTAAAGATGCTCATACAGAGCGCTGGAACCAGGGACCAAGGGCATTGCCGACGCCAGCTCCTTGATGAGGCGTACGTCGTGCTCCCACTCGATCGAGCTCACAGACACGCGCCAAAGCCAGCGCCCATGTTAGCATCCCCATGAATATGCGGGCGCGAGATCTGAGCACTTCTAGTTCTAGGTCCATCATATCCATTTGGTGGGACAGATTCGATTCAAGTTCTTGGAGCTTTATCGGGGCGGAGGGAGGGACGACAGACGGACAGTTTGCCACCTCAATACCTCATAACATGTTACTCAATAGCATTGGGTTTGATCAATTTTTTAAGCCTCCAGATTTGTGTCATACGTCTCATGGGGGCCGGTGGCCCATCTGGCCCAGCCGCCAAGGGAGCAGCAGCGCCACCTAGGGGGAGGGCGCGCATGGCAAGGGTGGTCTCCGGCTGCTCTACTATCCATATCCGGAGGATCTTGAATAAAGGAAAGAGAATATGAATAGAATCGGTTGAGATTAGATAGATTGGGAGGAGTCTAAATCTATAAGCACTTCCCTCGTTAGATTACTTAGGATACAAGTCTACTCATGACTATAAATAGAGAGGCAATGTAATCATTGAGATCAAGAAGTAATAGCCTCAGGCTTACCCTTTCCCTCTCCCTCTCTCCCAGCACCCCTGCCTCTCTCCCTGCCGCCGCCTCCTCTCTCCTGCCCAACGCCTTCACCCCCACCAACCCTAGCCGCCGCCTCCCTATAGAGCCCCCTCCTGCCGGGCTCTTACATTTTGCATAACACAACATATCTTATCTTGAGTTGCTGGTGGATTAATTGTAAACGTTACTGAAGATAAGATATGTCAACTAAAACTAAAAATTTAATCAATCCACAAAACATACTCAAAAAATGCTGAGTTAAACATCGAAAAGGAATAAACAATACGCAAAAGTCGTCGTTTCAGCAAATCTTGAGGTTTAAAAGATGATCAAACCCAAAGCTATTAATAACATGTTATGACGTGGCAAACAATAAACAAACCATTTTCGCTGCATTAACATGTAGTACTAATGTCACTCTCCTATGATTAAACTAGACACGTAGCGCACCAGACCCATATGAATCGATCTACAACAACGATAATAAGGTAGAGCATCTCCGAGAGTACCGTATAATCCTTCCCAATTCAGGATTTTTTAGAAAAATGAAGAAAATCAATTTCCAACAACTTTCAAACTCACCTCCTAATCTTCTAGCACTTGGGTAAAACCTCGCCCCTATGCGTAAAGTTGCGCGCACTTCCGTACACACGTATAGGCACTTCTCTGCTCGTTCTCCTCCTTGGCCCGCTGCTGTTTCCTGCTACCAGTGTCCATTCGCGCCGAAGTTCTCGCTCGACCTGCGCAGCAACAGGCGGCCGGCGATGCCCGTCCCGGCCAGGTGCGTTGAGTACCGGCCCCGGCGGTGGTGCATGCTGAACCCCATCAGCGCTGGGGACGTCAGGGCCGGCGGCCGGCTCGCGGACAACGTCGGGTACGCGTGCTCCTGCGCCGACTGCACGGCGCTGGGCTACGGCTGCAGCTGCGGCGCACTGGACGCGTGTGGGACCGCATCGTACGCGTTCAACGCCTACTACCAGGTGCATGGGCAGGTGGAGTCGGCGTGCGACTTCCAAGGGATCGGTGTCGTCGTCCACGAGGATGCGTCGCAGGGCGCGTGCAACTTCAGCGTGCAGCTCGTCGGGTCAGGGGCGCCAGCACTGGCCTCTGTTTCTTGTGTTGCTTTCACCTGACGCGAGGTGCCTGAATCTTGATGATTGTAGATTTGTAGGTAGATGACGCTATTACAGCGTTGTACTAGGTACTTTCATGTTTTGATTGATCATCACGTGGGTCGCCGGGATGCTGGCTGCCGCCGCCTGGGACCTGCAAGGGATCAGCGCGAGCAAGGAAGAAGACGGCGGCGAAGGGTTTCGCGTGACCGGTCAGGCGGTGTCGCGTGAAAAAAAAACTGCCGCAAAAAAAAAAAAAAACTTGTGGGACCAAATTTTTATTTTTTGAAGTGTTTATTGGAAATTCTTGGAGATGATATTCTTTATTCCTCTCAATATTTTTTTAAAAGTTAGAAAACATCATGTTTTGTTTTTTGGAAGAAAAAATAAGGTACTTGTGAAGATGCTCAATGAAATTACTAACCTCGTAGCTGTCTCATGTGCGCCGAAGCAACGTGATCTACAGCAGCCCGGATCCTCTGCCCTCAGCTTCCTCCGCGAGCTAGCTCCCGTGCGCTGAAGCTGCAGTGCAACACCGCTGCCGCAGCAGCCGTGCACCGCCAGCGGCGTCGTGCGCCTCCGTCGCCGCTGCCAAGAGCATTTTGGGTGTGGAACGAATGGAGCCAGGCTAGGCATTTTGACCAGGGTGGATGTTATTTTGGGGCCGTTTGGTTGATGGAATCAGTTCCGAGAATCCCTTGGAACGGCGCCAAACGGGCTAGGAGCGAAACGCTTCAGCCGAGAAACCTTTCACGTATTCTGCTTGATTTTCTGAATCGGCCAGAGGACGGTTTTGTATCGACTCTTTTTCAGTTCTCTTGCCTCCCGTGTGTGTAGGGCTAGATATCGACTAGCTCGGCTCGGCTCGTTATCCTAACACTACTAGAAAACAGACCTTTCATCCACTTTAATTTTAGCATTTAGTCTCGATATTTTTTGCGTTCGAGACTAAATGACTTTTAGTCCCGGTTCGTAATACCAACTGGGACTAAAAGTCATCTTTAGTCCCGGTTGGTGTCACCAACCCAGAGTAAAAGTTCACCAACTTTTAGTCCTGGTTGGTAACACCAACCGGGACTAAAGGGTGACCTTTTAGGCCCGGTTGGTGTCTTCAACCGGGACTAAAGGTCTTTTACCCGGGACTAAAGGTCTCCCACGAGTCTATTCAAAAGGAGAGCGCACATGACTCTGTCACAAGTGGTGTGCAGTTGAGTTGGTAATGTACCTACGCGTAAATAGAGAGGTGTTGGGTTCGAATCTCACGTAGAGCAAGCGAGGCCTCGAGGATTTCCTTTATTTTTTTCTTCCGTGGGTGACCTTTAGTCCCGGTTCCTAGACCCGGGACTAAAGGTGTCCCGGAAATTTAGTCCCGGTTGAAAAAACCGGGCCTTCCCAACCGGGACTAAAACCTGTTTCTCTAATAGTGTAATGGGCAAAAAGTCCAGCTCGGCTTGGCTCGGTAACTACCTCGAGCTGGCCCTTTTGGCTCACAAGCCAGATGGGAAGAAAGAGATATTAGCAGTAAACAACATACAATTTTGTTCACTGATTTATCAATCGATCTTCCATACAAAAGGAAACATATATATACATGATCTGTATGTGCTGATGAAGTGATGATGTGTGGTTAATATAAAGTTTTATCGTCCAACAGATCAGGTTCCTTGTAGTTACCAAATCTAAGTCTACAAATAAACAAATATCCAATAAACCGCCATCAGCTTGTGAGCCAGCTCGAGCTGGCTCGTTATTATAGCTAACGAGCTAAAAGCTGAGCTTGACTTGTTAGAAAATCGTATCGAGCCGAGCCGAGCTGACCACAAGTCGAGCGAGCTGGCGAGCTTCGAGTTTTTCGTCCAGCCCAACGTGTGTGCTATCAGAATCTAGCATACCAGCCAAACAATTTCACAAGGTGTTTCTGATTCACCTCATGAAACGTTTTTGAGAGAATCTAGATCCGAAACGTTTTTACGAGAATCTGGATTCCTACCAAATCCACCCTTTGATTGGTAGGCTTGGGCTAACCGAGACACGTGTCTATGTGGGTTTGCTGAGTCAACACCACGGTGACTAAAACTACCTTCCAAACTAGTGGAGGTAAAAAAAAACGGTTTTAATAGTTGCATGTGAGAAGGTTTGTAGTTTTATAAATCAGGGAGGAAAGTCGGATGACCATATTGAGGAATTCTTCGTAAAAAATACTAACAATTAATCTATATAAAAAGGGTAATTTCCAATTTGCGAGAAGTCAAACAATTTTGATTTTGACCACATCTATATAAAAAATACTAACATTAATTATACCAAATAAATATCATTAGATTAGTCATGAAGTATATTTTCATAGTTAATATATTTGAAGACATAATGTTGATACTACTTTCTAAAACTTAGGGAAACTTACATTTCGAATCTAGAATTGCATTCTTTTTTGACTGAGGGAGTAGGTCATAGAAGTTCTCCATTGGGTGGGGCCCACATTTGATGTATCTTAGACTCTGAATTTTATTTTTAGCGATCTTGTTAATTTTGCCTCAGTATTAGATTTAGTGATTGTTTGGGCTGAGGGGAAAAAAGAACATTACTACATTAATCTGAAGTAACTGTGGATCATTAATCCAGATGACTGCGGACACATTCAACATTTATTTTAAGAAAACGCTAAATACATGTGAGTCTCACTAGTTTCTACCACATATATCATTATTGCACCTGAAACACCAAAAGGCTAAAAAATGATATATGTGGTAGAAACTATTTAAATGAGCTCATAGTAAATAGTTGTTTAGCCCCAATTAGTTGGAGGCACTAGGCTAGTGGAAGGAAGGTCATTGGGCTGAACTCATGATACCATGATGGACCCAAATGGAATAAAAAATTGTCCCAAGCAGGATATCTGTTGTATATAATCGCCAAAAAATGTGTTCTATATAGCCATATAGGACATGACCCTGAAAGGACAACAGGAAACCTATCCTAATCAAAACCGTCTAATGGGATGGATGCCTCTATTTAACTAATGAAAATATCACCAATTTCATCCTTGTCTATTCTTGCTTTCTTCATATTGGGATCCCTAGCTAGATATTCCTTAACTTTTATTAGTACTGTTATCTGACTGTCCAGATTGAAGGTGGATATTTGGAGGGTAATAAAGGCTTAAGCAATTGGGATATTTTCACCCATAAGCAAGGTGAAGCATGATAATCTATAGGAATTAATTTAGGCATAACTCCAAGATGTCAATTCATTTTTATTCTTCTCTGTGTCACCTCCTTTTCTTTATTCAATCCCTTTAGGTACAGTTGAGGATGGGACCAATGGTGATACCGCTGATGATCACTATCATCGTTACATGGTATGTATGCTACAAGTTTTCCATGGATTTCAATTTTGTTGATTATTTAGTAATAAATATAAAATTGCAATCAATAATGGTAGTTGATATTCCAATGGATCTTGGTATCTGTTCAACTACTTGAGACCAGAGACATTTTTCTATGCTCCAGGAAGACATTGACTTGATTCATTCCTTGGGTGTCAACTCATATCGATTTTCCATTGCATGGGCAAGGATTCTACCGAGTGAGTTTGACAATATTTTACTTCTTTACGAGTCCCTTCCTCTCTTATGGCATAAATTGTGGTTATGCATAATTGTTTAGAAAAAAAGGTTGTTGACGTAATTCGGACTCTTGCTACAGAAGGCCGCTTCGGGCATGCTAATCCAGATGGTGTAGCATTCTACAATGCTCTTATTGATGCTCTTCTACAAAGAGGTATTAGTTCAACAGATATATGCAGTAAACACTACTTTGAAGATATGGAGTTCTGAACTACATTTTAAACAGGCATAGAACCATTTGTGACGATATCTCATTATGACATTCCATATGAACTAGAGAAGCGATATGGTGGCTGGTTGAGCCCCAAAATTCGGTATGTCCATTTCTTTATTTGCAATAAAAATGGCTTCTAATTCTTGATTGGTGGTTGATTTGACTTCTAAATACTCTCTAGGAGAGACTTTGGTTACCTAGCAGATGTATGCTTCAGGATGTTTGGTGACCGAGTAAAATTTTGGATAACATTTAATGAGCCAAATATATTCGCAAAGCTCAGCTATATCTATGGACGGTACCCTCCTGGTCACTGCTCTAGGCCAGTTGGGAACTGTACGTACTTCTGGAAATTCTTCAACTGAGCCATACATTGCGGGTCACAACATGGTATTGTCTCATGCAAATGTGGTCAGCATTTACAAGAAAAAATATCAGGTACCAAATATGCAACAATAATCACATTAGCTTGAGAGTTGCTGAAATGAAAACACCAATTAAATGAGTTACTAAGATGAAAACATCAATTAAAGAAAATTGTTTATGTAATATGGTTGATGTTTGGTAGGGGAAACAAGGTGGTCATATTGGAATTACAGTTCTCTCAAGATGGTATGAACCATTCCGGAATATCCCAACAGACATCTTAGCAGTTGATCGGGGTCTATCTTTTGGCGCTCCATGGTACTAATCTTCCTGTTCTATTGATAACCAAGAATACAAATAACACTTTATTTTCTGATAACAAGCCCTGGACATATAGTATTATTAGTTAATTCATATTTGTATTTTATAGTATGGCTAATTTGCTTGATTATGCCAGGTTTCTGGACCCCATAATTCTTGGTGATTACCCCTCTGCGATGCACAAGATCTTGGGTCCAAACCTACCTGAATTCACATCAAAACAAAAGAAGATACTACAAGCATCCAAGTTGGATTTCATTGGTTTAAATCATTATTCAACATCCTATTTGAAGGACTGCATCTCCTCGTCACCATGTGAATTGGATCCATTTGATGGGGATGCCCGAATTAGTACTTCAACAGAAAGAGATGGAATACCTATTGGTGAAAGGGTAAACATGCATTGTTACAATATTAGTTTATTTGACATCTGGAATAGGCCAACCTCTTGGTCAAGGAGAGGTGTTTCGATTTAGCCTGGGCCTGGGTGCTCATCTGGTTTGAGTAGGACGAGCTTAGGTGGTGATGCCCACGTTCTGTTTTAATGAATGCTAAACTAGGACGAGCAGTAGAACTCTTGGTCATTTTTTTAGAAAAAAATGAATTATCGATTGTTAGCCAAGGAAGAATAGAAATGATTGTTGATGGTTGCAATCTCATTCGTGCAGACAGGGTCGCCATACTTGAATACCGTTCCATATGGGATGGAAAAAGTGGTCATGTATTACAAAAGGAGATACAATAACACACCAATGTATATCACTGAAAATGGTATGGCTTCTACCCATCTCTTTATTTTTTAGATGGAATAAACATAGTTCTAAGTGAAATTGTATTTTAGATGTTTTTATCGTTGTAATTCGAGCATGACACTATCCAATAATCACACACAACACTATGTGTTAGGACATTGATAGGATTGTTACAAGTATTTTACCTTAGATATTTACTCACATGAATTTAAATTATTTAGATTGAAAACATGTTAAACATGCTAGATTTGTATTAAAAAATGTGTTTGAAAAAAGTTTAAATATACATTCTAAATAATACAGATCAAAGTTTGCAAAATATAGTGGATCAAAGATACCCATCAAAGATAATGCGAAGTCAAATGTGACAAACATTTTTACCAAAGGGGGTACTTTCAAAATTAGAGTTTATATATAAACATAAACAAAATACCAAGAAACATGGCCCTACTAAACTAATCTAGTGATTCATGGTCCAAATTCATATGCTATAAGAATTTTGCAGGTTATGCCCAAGCAAGCAATAGCAACATGTCTGCCAAGGATTTTACTAATGACACAGGAAGAGTCGATTATCTTCAAGGCTACCTCACCTTTTTGGCTTCAGCGATAAGGTAAATGTCAAAACTCTCGATCAATCTTAAACCAGCTCAGAAGCAATGCTTTGTGGCTTTGAACAATACCTTGGATGCATTGCTGCATCTACATGTTCTTCCTCCTTTCTCTCTAATCACTGACTAAATCACATATTCTGCTTCTTGTATGTCGATCATTTCACTCTCTAAAGGAAAGGGGCCGATGTGCGTGGCTACTTCGTGTGGTCTCTTCTCGACAACTTCGAGTGGAACTCTGGGTACACACAAAGATTCGGGCTCTACCATGTCGACTACAAGACACAAAAGCGAACCCCAAAACTGTCTGCGAAATGGTATAGTGAGTTCCTCAAGGGGTCACCCCTGAGAACAAGGTCCCAAAATGGAAATTCCTACAAGTACAGTGCCTAATCCATGGACCATTTCTCCTCAGAAGATTAGTAATTTGTAGATGTTTAATATCACGCTTTACGCACATAAAGTTGATTACATGTTATCATATAAGTTGTCTCAAGGATTTTGTATATATGTGCCGTGTGTATGTATGTGCATCAAGACATCAATAGAATACTAAGGGAGGAAATGTGTTTTGTTAATTGTTGAAGGAAATTCAAGCAATCCACCTCTTGTGTTAGGAAAAAGTACTTGTGCTTGACATATCAATATATAACAAACACACGGCCTCCTACAGGAGGTTATATGATTCCTTAAACTTTTACATGGTATCTAAAGCTGAATCTTCCAAACACATCTGACAATGGTGAGCTCATCTTCATCATTGTCGATGCTGCCCTCCTACTTCCAAGAAGCCTACACAGGAGAACTTTCTTCTGAGGAAGGCTCAAGTCCTCCCTACAATTCAAGGGTGCAAATAATGGATTACCTGGGTGGAGAAGATTGCACCGCTAGAGAAGATGCTTCACATCACCAACGACGATAGGAAAACGAAGAGCCTCGCAAAACTATAATACTGCACTACATTGTGTGGTGCCTTGTCTACACTTGGGTTGTATATTTGATGTTGTACTAGTGCACTGCACTGCTAAAGCAACTCGATGGTGAGCATGAGATGCTCTAGAGGTGTGTTTTCTCGTCTCAACAGTACTCGCTCCAAACCTTTGAGCTACTCTAAAATAATTATGCTAATAGCTAAATAAACATGGTCTCCATGAATGCAACTCGTTAGGTGCATACTAGAAATGGTGTTAAGATCGGGCAAGTAGCTTTTGTTTTAATGAAAGGAAGTAGCACAAGCTCAGTCACAAAAATCATAGAAAATCAATTGCCAGAGTGGCTTATCTAATCTATAGATTAACAGGACTAGCAACACAAACGTTCACTCTCCTACTATCCTAAAAAATTACATCAGCGTCCAAAGATCACCACTGATGCCCCAGACATATCCAAGAAGAACCTCATAGCTTTTCTCTCAAGTTTTTTGCAACAATTGAAGACTTCAAGTGAATCCACGAACTTTCTCTCAAGTTTTTTGGAACAATTCAAGACTTCAAGTGAATCCACGAACTATCAGTAAATGACCCATGTACCCTCCTACTATCCTCAAAAATTACATCAGCGTCCAAAGATCACCAGTGCTGCCCCAGACATAGCCAAGAAAGAACCTCATAGCTCGAACTGTCAGTAAATGACCCACGTACCCACGTATTGTCCATCCGCAGTCAACCTAATTGACTGGTCAACGCGATAGAGTCCATCCAAAATCTATTTATATGACCTAGCTCCGCATGTAGAACGGGCCTATATACCGCGTTGCACCTCTTTTACACTTTCGCCCTCGCTTCGTGTAAAAAGGTCAACCTGGAGGTGTTACGTTTGGCACGACAACAAGGATTATAAGCTCGCCCTCACCCTCCTAAACTTCTAAGGTGGTACTTTTTTTGAGCATATTCTAAGGTGGTACTAAACCCACCAACTACAACTCGTGTGTCACATGGGCCACATGGGCCAACAACACAACTACGTACTACAGGCTTCTAATGGGCTACGGTGTTACACCTAGTGACTTTGCAAACATGCAAATGTTGCGTTATCCAATTCTCACGCCCCTCTTTGCCCCACCGGTAAGCTCGAAGTGGACTCAAGACCACCAGACTCAGCCCTCCTTCTACTCATCTCATTAGTCACTACTCTCCTCTCTCTCTCTAGAATAAACGAACAAGGGTGAAGATGGGAGGAAGAGGAGGGTGGGTGGAGAAATTGAAGAAAATTTTTGGGTTGTCCAATTTTGGGTTGTGAATAGATAACACTAAATAATACATTGGTTTTAATATTTGCATACAACTTTTCAAGATTAGTTTAATTTAGCGCAGATTTAGTTGTAGAAAAATGTGAATTTTCAAACTTTTTCAAACTAACATGACGGGCTTGTTTGTTGATGTGATGTTGGTTGTTGCTTGACTTTGTGTTATGAGTGAGTAAAGTTTTAAAGCACGTTTAGTAAGTCATTTATCTTACTCTGGCTTGTCTTTATCTTTTCTTATAACAAAATCCCTGCTTTCTCGATCTTATTCTTTTTTATTGGAGTTCCCAAAATATTTTCCTTCTATTCCAAATCACTCCTCTGAGTTCATCGCCCATCAACTATCTGTGAGAACGTCCCGGGGGTTTTTCCAGCTTTTTCTGGAATTCTTTCTAACTTTCCTGCGAGCATAATCCAATTTATAGATGCCCTAAGATATCTTTTCATGAGCTCTAAATACTTTATTTGGGTTCCTCATGTTCCAAAATGTCTCAGAGAATTTCTCGCAAATTTTCAGAGCTTTCAGAGTATTTTTCGCGGCCCTATTTGCTTGAACTTATCAGCCATGGTACAGTGTTTTCTCTAAAAAAACAGTATCAGCTGGCTTATCAGTCGTAGAAACCATCAGGCGAACAACCCTACCTAGACTTTTCTAGAATTATTTAATTTGTAAAATTATTTAATTCTAGAAATAATAAATATATCGTTTTCTCCCACCTTGAATCCTAACTATATGCCGGTGTTGTGCTCGACGCGCTGATTCTAGATCTAAAATTCTTTTTCTGAGCCACCACCCCTAACGCGCTACATCTAGTGCTGAAGTTTGGATTTCCGGAGAACCCTCCAGCGAGCGTTTTCGGCCAAGCCATCGTGTTCCGCCTGTAAACCACCACCACCACGAGGTAGCTCTCGTCCTTCTCTACGCCGTGCTATCTTTCTTTGCTTCAATACATCACCTTTTGACCGTTTTCCCTTTGTTTCCAGTGGAAATTCCAGCGAGCTCGACCATGAATGCCACCTTCTTCTTCGTTTCCGGCCAGCTCACCACCTCGCTCCCAGGGCCAGACGCGCCCCAGACCTGGACCCCGCGGCCGCTCGGAGCCGTGCCGTCTGCGCCCCACCCCTTCACGCTGGTGGAGAAGCACCACCGGCTGCCTGTGTGTCCGCTTGGCCACACCGTGCCAGCCGAGCAGGACAAGCCCGGCCCCGCCGTGGATCCCATGCGGCTTGGCACCGCCGCCGGCCGGCTGGACAAGCCCCAGCCGAGGCCTCCTCCCTCCCCGTGCGCGAGCCCTGGAGCAGCACATTAAGGTCCCTTCCGTTTGAGAGAAGGAGACGAGCCTGTTGGCTTCGCCGAGGAACCACTTAAACACACACGCCAATGTTCTTAGCGAGAGGTAAAACAAACATAATAGACACGCTGTTTTCCGGAGACGAACGCTGCGGCAACAAAATCGCCTGTATCTTGGCTACATATTCACTGGACTTGGCAACTGAATACAGAGGAGCACAGGGGCTACATATAGGCCATGGAGCTCGCCTCCATATGCCGGCCTCCGCGCCATGATTCGCAAGACCCGCACAACAACACCATGAGCCACTTGCTCATCCAGACAATGCGTCTTCTACCATACAAATGGGCGCCATGCACACCATACTCCAACTAGACTTCGTCTCGGCTATTGCATGTCATCTAGGAGGCACACACGACACTACCATCCAAGAGACACACACGACTCCATCATAACCCAAAAATAGCTGGACATGCACACCACCATGACGCGAAACACACGCACACGCCATGTAGTGTCGTGGTTCATTTCTAACAGAGCCCAAGGTGGAAGATAAGGTAATTACGGTTTTGCCACCGGATGAGATTAGCAATAGTTTAATCATTTTAATTCTGTTTTGCTCCATTCCAGTTGCATTAGGTTCGTACCAACGTGATCTACATTTCAAAGGATATTTTCGTGTCACATACTTTTGTATATGGATAATTAAATATTAAATTAATTAATATATATGCGCGCTAGTTTCGAATTAAAAGCAATATAGGTATTAAGCATTGATATTTTGTACATAAATGTTAATATGATTAAGTAGTTACATAAATGTGTTTTTCAATTATAATTTGTTTAGCTTGAACCCACGTCATATGGAATTCGAGTAGGTGCTCTCACATGCCCTTTTATTTTTGCAAAGTAATGTTTAATAACTTGCCTAATTTACATGGTAATGTTTATAAATAAAATATGATTAGTTTAATTTGATTTTGATGTTAAAATATAATTTAACTAATCTAAATTAGTAGTTTTCACATGTTTTTTCTTAATAAAAATAAATCAAACATGCACACTTTTCTTTTATAATATAAAACTTATGGTAGACGTTTCTTTTTAATCGTAGTTCCATTATCGGCGTTCTTGGTGATCTCCTGACCGTAGCAATAGCTCTCTTTTAGTATGTTGTTTTAAAGCTTTTGCTATGATTAGTGTATGCGCTTAGCTGTCTTTGTTTTGTCTGTTTGTATGTTATTTGTGCTTGGTGTTTGCTACGAGTAGAACGAGAACCGTTTGTGAGTAATGAAGATCAGAAGACGATGGACCAGATGTAAAGTATGAGAAAGTTTGAGCAAGTGTAAAAGGCAAGTATAGCATAGGATCTTCCTTATTATCCCATTCACCCTTAATTATTTAGTCATATGCATGTGTCAATTTGTTACCCGTAAGGACATCCTAGTTCTTGCTTTCTTGTACCTTGTTACCGATGGGTTATACTTGCGTATGGGTAGTTTGCTAGCGCTCAATTTAATTATACATGATATGAACAATGACTAATGGCTATATGCAACAAATGTTAAAACTTGCTTTTTTAGTAACTTGAACATAGAGCGAGAGAGCTCTTGTTTTTATCATGATGCTCTTGACCCTCCCTAAGGATTTATTTGTCGGCAAAAGCTAAAACTTATAGTACAACCCGGAGTGGCACATGGCTCTGGCTTTAGCTCAGTAGTATGACCTTTTCTAGCTTGTTTGTGGTTACCTGAAAGGACGCAAAAGGGGCCTGCCGAGCTGAGTATAGTGCGGCCTCTATCCCTATGTGTATAGCCTACGAGAAATGTGTCATTCGGAAGGGGGCTCTATATTCCCTT